TTAAAAAACCTATATATCAAGTTTCCTTTTCTTATGGCAAAGGTAATTAGCCATTTGGGCAAGGAACTTCCCATGCTTTGATTGCTGAAAATATGCTGAGCAAACTGGAGAAGCAGGACAAAAATGAAAAGAACTGCTGAGCTTGTGAAAAGAAGACAGTACAGTTCTTCAAACTTACTACTTCATAGAAAAGTAATCCAGGCTTTTTGCAGGATACAAGGGAAAGAGACTGCTGAACTTTGCCAAAACAAAACAGGAGAAGCCTTCAAAATTCCTTCTTCATAGAATAGTCGCCAGATATTCTATGCTTCTAGGTCAAAGATGGATGTCACAATATTGCAGAGGAACCTTGGGTGACTGTCTAGGCAGCCAGACACTTGTCATTTCTATAGCTTTGGAAATGGATTGCACTGTATTTACTCTTTACTTGGGTGATACTACATTCTTGGATGGTCTTTGATAAAACTGAATACTAGATAGTGTCAGTTTTCCTAATGATCCTCCAAATTTGCCAAATGCAAAAGATCTGAATAATATAAATGTAATCCTTACTTAATAATTATTCTTGTTGTATGAAGCTTTACTAATGTTAAAGTTAAAACCCTTCTGTTTTATTTAGACAAGAAGGAAATGTTCTAGAATGTTATTTTAACTATGTAAAGATATTTGTTTCTGCTGCATTTGTTTAAAAAATGTAAATATGTGTTACATTTGTTTATGCTGCATTTGTTTTATTTTGAAAAGATGTGTTGCTGACTCACCTTGCTCATCTAAGTCACCTGATTGATCTAATAAAAAATAGAATGGCCAGGAGGTAGGCAGAAGAGGAATAGCTGAGGGTGGCAAGAAGTGTGTAGTGATATATTTTATGTGATTTAACAAATAAAATTTGCTTGAAGGCCAGAGTGCAGAACTAAGCCACGAGAGGCCAGGCAGTGGTGCCATACTGCAGACAGAAATTTCTGTCCCACCTGGCCTCACTGTCATTCAGTCCCAAATAATTTGTCCCCATGTTGGGCACTAAATGTAGCGTGATTAATAAAAACCAAGAGAGAGAGATTGGGGTTCAACCTGAAGGTCAGAAATGCAAAACACCCAGCCACTGACTCTTACCTCTACCTCTGTCTGAAATGGCAGTCCTGTCTTCAGAAATCCTCAGAATAAGACTCTGAGAGCTCTCTCCTCCTGTCTTACATTCCTCTCTTCTGGGATTAAAGATATGCACCACTACTGCCAGTTTTCTATGGCAAATTCATATGGTTACTGGGATTAAATGTGTGTGCACCACTGCCTAGTCTGTAAAGCTGACCAGGGCTACTGTTTTACTCTCCGATCTTCAACCAAGCATTATTTATTAAAATACAAATGAATAATCACCAAAGCACACACGTTTAATCCCAGGACTTGAGAGATAGAGGCAGATGAATCCCTTTTAGTTCAAGCCCACCCTGTGCTACACAAAACTGATCCAGTCTATAAGAGAAATGGAGATCACACAAAGATGATTCCAGCATTTGGAATCCCAAGCCTTCAATCCCAGAAATAGGGAGGTGAAGACAGGAGTGATATGACTGGGTGGAATGAGGCAGCAGTCTGGAGATGCAGTCTGAAACATGCAGTCTGAGATTTTTGTAGACAGGACCACTGCTTTGGTCTGAGCATTGGTAGAGGTAAAAACTCTAATTGTTGGCCTCATTGCTTCTCTGATCTATCAGCTTTCACCCCCTAATATCTGACTCTAGGTTTTTATTATTAGGAACAACTAGAATTCATGCTACAGCAGAGAGGGTATGTAGAAGGAGAAATCTAGGTTGGAGAGAGGAAAAAAGAAATGATGAGAATGAGGAAAAATAGAGGGAAAAGCCCACAGCCAGAAGCCAGGCAGCCTCCAGAAAGCAGACAGAGAGTAGGACATGCAGAAGAAAAATAAAAATCCATGAGACAAAATGTTTATGAATAGAAACATGTTAATTTAAGTTAAAAGAACTAGTCAGAAATGAACCTAAGCTAGGCTGAACCTTCAAAACTAATAAGTCTCCACTTCATGATTTGGGAGCTCATTGCAGCCTCAAGGAAAAAGTCTAGTAGGTATTTGAACTGGGCACACTATTAAGCAAAATGAGTCTTGAGTTCTTCATCAAAATGATTCTGAGAAGTGCTCTTTTCCAGGACTTTTGAACATATTGTTTAGAATTCACCTCCCACAGTCTAGTGAAAACACAGCAGCTATTACTGTGATCTTTTGACCCCAGATTGTACAGCCCTTTATGATAGGATGTACCTTTTTTCTGTTTAAATATGAGATATCCTTGAATAAAGAGTGCTGAGAAATCAATATATAATTACTCTAAATGAGATATATATTAATATTTGTATATAATATGTCCTCTGAGAAGCAAGAAAATTTCCTAAAAGCCAGCAAATCTTTCACTATTTGAGGATTGGTTTGGATACCAAGGAATCAATCTAGCTTGCTTTTTGTTGTGATGATAAAATACCCCGAGAAAAGTAACTTAGGAGAGGAAAAACTTTCATTACAGCTATGAATTACAGTCTCTTGATGGTGTAAGTAAAGACAAGTACTCAATTAGGATTTTGATGCTTTAAACATGAAGTTAAGCTGTCTTTTGTCTCAGATGCAGGTTCATATATAGCTAACTTCCTCATAATGGCCAGGAAAACCTGCCTAGGGAATGGTGCTGCCAACCAGATATTCAGTCCTCCAGTACTAATTAAAAATCAAGGTAACCCCCAACACGCATGCACACACACACACACACACACACACACACACACACACGTAAACCTAATCTAGGCAATTCCTCTCTCAGGGGACTCTAAGCCTGGATGCAGCTTAAAGCATTTGCCCAAACCCAAGTGTGTACCGGCCTTCCTCCTTCCCTTTCAATCACAAAATAATCTCTGTTTTCACTCATATAGCTTATATGCTAAAACTCTCCTTAGAATTTAAGAAATTATACTACATATGACTTATTTCCCATGTTCTTCTAGTATATTGAATTCTGACTCCTTCAATCCAGAGAAAAGTAGGGTGATTCACCAAAAGATGATCATCTCATTTCTCAATAATATCAGAGAGACAATCTGAATATAACTCTTCTTCGGTCTAGAAGGGTTATTATGTTGTTAACAGCACTTGCTTCTCTTGCTGAGGTTTAGTTACCAGCAGCCACATTGGAATGATCATACTGCTTGTGACTCCTAGAGATTCTGATACCCTGCTCTCCACTCTACAGGTACCAGAATGAATTATATATATATATATATATATATATATATATATATATAAAACATTATTTGTACACATACATTATCTATAATATATATCACATTACATATGATATACTATTTCAAATACAATATGTTCAATTATACACATATATTATTTAATATATTATATATAAAATACATATTGTGGTGCATCACGCCCCGTCTGTGCTCTATGCGCCACCATACAGTTTGTGAACCGGGCAAGGGGGGCTGGAGATTGAAACACACAAAGACTCACAGACAGAGAGAGACATGAGTCATTGTTAAAGCCAGAATGACCCAAGAATGCCCCCTGTATTGTGTTCAGGGGCAGCTTATATAGGGATAGCCACGCCCCAGTCAAACACACCAGAAACCATTCCCCTGCCATCAGAAACTCCTGAGGGTCTCATGCTTAGAGCAGCTGTTGGCACTCAGATCAGGGGAAAACAACTTGTTTACAAAAAATTAAGGATCTAGGGGTTCACTGCTCCCAAAACATATGATATATTATATGTAATATTAGTTATTACATATAATATTGAGTAAATGATTATAGTATATGTTTATATGATCATGCTATATTATACAAAATACACATTAAATGTTATATTTAATATAATAATATACAATATGCATGATATATAATGTATTACTATATAATAAATAATTATAATATAAGATATAATTATAAAATATAAACTATTACACATATTATGGCATATATATTATATCTATAATGTATGTCCAGTTCTCTATGTTCATCTACACTAGGAGTTGAGGGTGCTTTCTATCCCACCACTGGTGGAGATAATTTGGGTTGATATATGATTCTAAACCACTAATCGTAGTTTTATATTAGTGGGTTTTTTTTTTCACCACTATGACACACCACACTTGGGGCCAGGCCATGCTCACCACTTCCCCACATTCTTCTAATCCAGTACACATCTTAACTGAGCTCTGTTTTCCACTTAGAAAAGGTGTGAGTTTCTCTTAGTCCCCAAAGTGTCTTATTTTGTATGATTCTCTTATAAGAACTTTAAATTCTCACACCTCCACACCGTTCTTTGTACTTCTCATTTATGTGTTAGAGGATCGAGTGCCATCTTATGTAATAGTTGCTCCCAGACTCCAAAAGTCTAAAAGCAGCGCCCCATTCATTATTTTGTCACTGTTTTCTCCTCTTCCTGCTTCTCTATCTGCTTCTTCTTCCCCACAAATTATTCCTGTTTACAAAGAATAGATGTTTGGTAAATGTTTGCTTGGGGAATAAAAGTGTCAGTGAGTAAGAAGTTAACTTTATCATAATTCATGTTCCTACATTGTTTAATGAATGAAATACATCCAGGCACATAAGTTTAATTTAATTTTATTTTGTAGATCAGATAACAAGTTTCAGAAAATCCAAGAGTGCATCATCTACTACCATGTTTTCCATATTTTCTTCTTGCAATTTTATTGAAGTTTTGCTTTTTCTAAGAAAATGTCTATTCTGGTGCCATGTTTTCTTCTTTCAGATGAATAAGATGTATTTCAATTTGTTTTCAATACTGAAACTCTTAACTGAAAGAAACGTCTGGAAACTTGAAAAAGCAAAACTGAATGTTACTCATGTAGAATAAGGCTACAAATATGAGATGCACTCTTTTCTCTCCAACACCACCTCAGTCCCCCCTAGTTGATTGAATGTTCTCTTTCAAACTGATGAAAAGCAGGAATTTTGGTATTCAGTGCTGGTTGGAGGAATTGTTGGAATTGTCGTTGGTCTCTGTATCGTTTAAGAAACCAAAAAGAATCATAGATGCAAATTTAGCATGCATTCTCTCTTGGTCGGCTCTCAAAGCTTCTTGATACAAGGATGGGAAGGCACTGGGAACAGTGTTATGGACTTTGGCCAGAAACTCAAGTACTTTCATTTTTCTTGTTTCAAAGAGGGCCCTGGGACCCCACAAGAATTGATAACATTGTGAACCCTTGTAAGGTACCCGCCGATATTCCAGGTACCCATCATTCACAAAATCTTTAGTAATGAGCTTCTTGACGTTTCCATAGATGAAGTGATTGACTCCAGCATATACTCCCATCACACTAAGCGCTTGCCAGACATGTTCCTCATTAACACAGCTGCCATTCATGAAGATTACACACAGAATTGTCATCAAGAGGCCACTCTTGGGCATGATTTCCTCGCAATTCGTAAGTTCTTCACCAGTAGGACTAAATATGCTGACAAGGTCATAGCAGTGTCTGGTTGGGTCAGTTTCTTTAACATCAACAGCAAAGGTTAGCACCATGAGCTCAGAGGCTTTCTTAAGAACATCAGGAAACTCTTCCCTGTTGTGTGGGATGACATGCTCTAGTATATCTTCCTTTGTTATTGGCTCCTTCTTTTTATACTTTCGCAGCATAAACAGTACCAATGAAATTGCTTTTTCAACTATCTTGGTTGATGATGGATTACTAGTTGAGGAAAGTGCCCAGGAAGTACTTGGTCTAACCTCATCTTGGCTCTTCACACCTTCATCCGACTTGATGCATGGAGCACTTACAGAAGCAGAGGTGGGCCTCTGAGCCATCTTGGGTTTGCCAAGTGATTCAGCATCAGAAAAGCTCTGGACATCACTACTATACAGGGGAGAAGAGGAAGAAGGATTACCTCTCTCTTCTACTGTCGGGACCTGAGCATCCTGAGTAGATCGGGTTTCACATCGAGCCTGATGGCGTTTCTCACGGGCTCGGAGTTTACTTTTATGACCACGAGGCATGATGATTCTGGTTACGGAGTATCAGCAGAAGAGCAAGGCATCTAGGGATGGAAGAATGAGATGGTATGACTATCTGAAGAAAGGTGAGATCACTTTGGTCTTTAAACCAAGCTTGCCTCTACAATCATCTGTGACAGCAATGCTATAGGGCTCTTGTTTCAGTTAGTCTCTCTCTCTCTATGAACTCATTAAAGGAAATTAGAGAGTGAATAAGAGTTTGACTGAGATCTGGTAGTCCTTCCTAGGGCAACCTAGAGCTTTAAGCAGGTGCCAGCAGGTCTAGGTTCCATGAAGTAGGAAATGATCATCTTAATTTGCCTTTAAACTTAACACGCCACACCTGAATTTACATTTAAGAGCAATCCGAGCTTCCCATTTGTCACTCTTCGGAAGTTGGATAACTAACCATTAATAGGAAAATGAGAGAGAGAGAGCCCTAGTCAGCTACCCATTCCGGGTTTTCCCACAGCTACCGATAGAAGCTAAACAAAATTAAGTCTTCAGTTGTAACCATTAACCATAAAACAAGCTCCCTTTCTCCCTGAAGCCCCAATCCCCAATAGCCAGAGCCAAATGGCCTCTGACGGTCAACAACAGGGGCAAAGGTCTGTGTCTACTCTCTGTTGCCATGTTGAGAGTCCTCTCATTTCTCACTCAAAATCGTATTCTTTATTTTTGTAACCCCCAGAAGTCTTTGCTGACTTGAGTTCACTAACCTGAGATCAAACTCTTCACTTGCTCCTTGGCACTTCGCAGAAGGAGGAAATACAAGGTGGGACTACTGGCCATACCCGGAGTCTCTTTAGCTTTGGGCTCAGAGACGTAACAGAGCATACATGACAGAGCGCCCGGGGCCAACGTTCTTAACGTCATCGCTTTTGATTTTCCTGTCACTTTTCCCCTCAGAAAAAAAAAACTCCTTGGAGTTGGAAGTCAACCTTACTATCTTACATTGACATATTGACAGCTCTGCCTGTGATTTCTCAGTGAGGAAAGCGGGGGGGGGGGGGGGGGGGGTGTCTTGATTTTTGAGCCGGCTGTCACCATTGCATGGGTCTTCACCGCATGTAAGTGGATGGAGGTAGAAAGGTGGAGATGGAAATCTTCATCTTGGCTACTTCTTTAAAGTTTCCTTGAAATATCAATTCCAAGAAGGCTCTGAGATGTTTCTGAGTTGCGAGCATTGGAGCTGATTCAGACACTGGATTCAGAAGAAGATGACCAGATGTCGATGTTCTAAAAGAAAAAGGACTCTATGAGTTGGGTTCTGTTCATCAGTTAATATTGGATTTTGTAATCTTCTGTCTAGTTTTTAATTGGACAATTAATTTTTATAATTTAATAAAGAATTACAATTTAATGAATAATTACAATTTTGACTACAATTATGTTATAATATCTTTATATCCCTAAGAAATATGCATGTCTGAATATTATTTTTCATGAAAATCTACTTCAATTTCTTATACTCAATACCTTAATATTTTATGCATTATGTAACTAATCTGTTACTATTTGATGTACAGCTATTTTAAAGGCTATTTCTCAGCAAGAAATGTTTATTAGTAAAATAAAGATATTATAAGATTCTAGAATTATACTGCCCAAATTCAAACCTTTGTACTGCCTTAGTTTGACTTCTACATTACTGAAAGAATCTAAGGTATTGACCCAGATCCTTCAGTAAAGTAGGACACAAGAAAAAGGCTAGATTGAACTCCCAAAATTTTCCTCCAACTGACTCTATTTTCTTCTTAAATTACAACAGACCTGTCTTTACTGCAGGGAATATAGCCACTTGTCCAAATACAAGTTCTAATTCAGCCGATCCTTAGTCTTTCTGAAGGATTCTTAGTTTTACTATTGATCTATTACTAATATTGTTCTTTTATTCTTCTGCATATATTTTCCACGATTAAGTTTCATAAACAACAATCCAAGTCTTGTCACCACATTGGATGCTGAATTAAAAGCACTATATCAGTCTCCTTGGATTGCTATAACAAGATGCCATAACTATTTCAAATTTGATATTTTGGAACTAGTCCTTCAGTTCTTAAATGTACCTGAAACCACATAAATGAATTAATTACTTAGCATGATTGTTTAGTAGTAAATAAGGCAAACATTTGATGATTTCTTTGTATTTGAGTCACTAGTAATCTCTGTCCTGGAATTTTCTAAGATTTTACATTTTATTTTGCCTGAAGCCATAAGGAGTGTCTAGAGAGTCTGATGTTTCCCATAATCTACAGTACTTATGAAGAAAATGTCTTACAGAATTGCCTAAAGACCTATATAGTGGATGAAATTTCTCAGTTGTAGCTCCCTCTTCCCAGATGACCCTGACTTATGTTAAGTTGACAAAAACTGAACAGTACAAGACCATATTACCAAATAAAATCACATTGAATTTTGAGGTTTCAAGACACAAAAGGCAGGACACAATTCTTCGTTCATCAGATAATAAATATGTAAACAAATTAAAATTGACATCACCACATTAGGTATCTTCCTTTGAACAATTGATTTATTTATTGACTCCATTTCCCTAAGTTTATTTTTATAGTTGCTTACAAAAAGATTCAATACATTGTTGCTGTATTTATTTATACATAAGTTTTAGATATTTGTTTTTATGCCTATGTTACTTGTCTTATTTGTTTTGTGTGGCAAAGTTCTTAGATTTAGTAGTCAAATGATTCTGCTGGATATTTCCAATTAGAAACTCATACCATTTATTATTTCTTTCTTGATATTCCTACTTATTATATAGTCTGATGTCTCACTACTGTGGTTATATATTTCATGTTTAAACAATAGATGGTACCATACATTTGCATCTTGACCTTGATTTAATGTGGATGTTTCTAATATATAAAATTTAGTCAAGCTTGCTGTAGATGTTATAAAATGACACTTCTCTTCTAATAAGCCTGTTCTTTTCTAATGAAAGACAAAAAAAAGGAGTAGATCCAGATGGGAAGGGAAGTGGGGAGGAACTGGGAGGAGTAGAGGGAGGGGAAACTATAATCAGTATACATTGTATGAAAATAGAATCTACTATTAAAAATAATAAAAAGGAGAAATTGCATTTTTTTAAAGAAAAAACTCTTCTAATGTAATTTTGCTGAGAGTTTTTATCCAAAATAGTTGTAAATATTTTAGCAAAGACTTTTTTATGCATATGTATAATTCTAATTACATCTTTGCATTTGACTGTGGACTTACTAATTACTTCACTGAATGATGCACGTTTATGATACATGTCTTCACATAAATAAAATTCACACAAAAATCTTTATATTTGGATTTATTCATTTTTATACATAAGTATATATGTCTGCATACGTTGATATTCACCACATTTATGCATTTACCCTCAGAGTCCAGAGGAAATAGGATCCCTCTATAGTTATATGCAGTTGTAAACCAAGTGTTATGGGAGTTAGAAAACAAATTCAGGACCTCAACAAGTGCAGTACTTAACCACTCTTAACCACCGAGTCATCTCTCCAGCTCACAAGACATCTTTTCCTGAGGAAAAATTATTTGGTCTTTGCACCAAGATCAATGTACCTGTTGAAATAAGTTCAATAATTTATCATTGTATGTAACTTAAACAGTTTACATAAGAAAGCAATTGCATTTTTATACGCATTTTGTGAAACTGGCCAAAAAATTTGACTTTTCCAAGAATATTTTAGGAGTAACCTATTTAGAGTATTTAGAAAAGACAAGTGTTTTACATAGAATCTCAAATTTTACACTAAAGTACAAGCAATAATAGAAAACTGCATCAACTAGATTTCATAAACACCAAGAAAACAATTTTATTCATCCAGTAATATTGTAGGTGAAAGAGGGCGATGATAGGGTGGAGGGGTGAGTGTGACAAAAATGTGTTATAAACATGTGCAAAATTTTCAAGAAATAAGTTAATAAAAATAAATGTGAAAAGAAAACCTATAAAATGGAAAACTATTTTAGCTCATATGAATGATAAGTAAGTAGTCTCAGAATTATTTAATAAACCCTTTTAATAAGTATGAAGGTTTTTTCTAGTGATGAAGTTGATATTTGTGCAACATTGTGACTATACTAAATTATATATTTAAAAGATTATTTATATTTTGTGTGAATGGTATCTTAATTAGATAGTACTATCAATGGTATCAAATTAAAAAAATGGTCTGGTGAAATTTTCAATGGATATAGTGGTAATGTTTAAGACAATAGTCTTATATAATAAGGACATCTAAGAACCTAATAAGACACTTAAGTTTCTTTATTAAAAATTAAGGTTTTAATGATTTTTACTGGGAGAATAAGACAAATTACATACAAATAGTATAATCTCTAGGTTATCCATTCAAATTTTATAATAAAGTACTGTTTGTTTTAGTTAATTTTAATATTTACAGTAAAGCAATTTTAACTATGAAGTTTAGTTCACACAAAGAAAGAAGGGGAAAATACCAACAAAAATAACAAAAAGGAGATAAGCAGAAAAGCAACAACAATGCAACCACAGATCAGGGTTAGAGAGCCAGTTTAACATTGAGCTGTGTTTACACTAAAATGACACATGCCTCATTGTTTATGGCTTCCCCATAAACATATGTACCTTAGCTATGAGGAACAATGAATCAGAAGTTTTTCTGGAGCTTGCTGGTCTTCAGCCTAGATGAAACAAAGCAAACGCTAAGTTCAGAGAGAGACTTCTGCTTCAAAAGAAAAGATAGAAAGTGATCAGGGAGGACATCCTATACACTATTGTGACCTCTGAATACCTGCATGAGCACACACACATGCACACACACACACACACAATCATATAAACACACATCACTTAATTTTATTAATTACTCTTTTTGGAAACAACACAAAGGGCTTGAAAGATCAGTCAGTGGTTAAAACTGTGTATTAATCTTATATCAGGTGGCTCACAACTCCCTAATGTCCAGTTCCAAGAGATCCAGTGTCTTCCTCTGGACACC